TGGAGCTTAATAACTAGTGAAATGGGTTTTGTTTCTTTGATGCTCTTGAGAAGAAAGTTCACCTCGATTTATTTTCTACTATATACATAAACATATGAGGCATACTGCGTGAAAATATTTATATTAAGTGTTGTAGGAGCTTTTGGTCATAGAAAACAAAAGCCACAAGACCTCTTTGGGTGTTTATGAAAATTTTCCATTTCTCTTCAAGCTCCAGGCCCGAGGGAAGGTATGTATGAGGAGATTGCTAACAATTGCTTGAAGTACTGCCCAGGTACTTTAGGCTGCCCAGGGAAGTGGTGGAGTCACCATCCCTGGAGGCGTTCAAGAAACGTGTAGATGTGGTGCTTAGGGACATGGTTTAGTGAGTTAGGTGGTGTGGGCTGACAGTTGGACTTGATGATCCTTGAGGTTTTTTCCAACCTTAATGATCCTATGATTCTAAGTATGTGTGGTGATTGTTGCCCAGTGGAAGGAGAAAGAAACTGTCAGTAAGATTGTCCTGGAGGAACTGTGTTTGTCCATGAGTCACCTGTGATCAGGATTTTTTAGAATCATAGAATGGTTTGGGTTGGAAGGGACCTTCAAAGATCCTCTAGTCCAACCTCCCTGTGGTGGGCAAGGACATCTTCCACTAGATGAGGTTGCTCAAAGCCCCGTCCAGCCTGGCCTCAAACACTTGCAATGATGTGGCATCCACAGCTGAGACGGATGATCAGGAGTGTGGTAAAAGGCAAATACAGGAACCTTTTTCACAGATAGAGAGTATACAAACTTGCATTGCTTTCCTCTGAAAAAAAACCCTTATCTTCAGATCATTCTTCTTAGTTTTCCTCTATTATGTAATCTTCAGAGCACCTTCTGGGCTTACCAAAGTCCAGACTGCATGCTTACCTGTGTTTTCATATGCAGAAATACCTTGTAGGAAATACTGTGAATGATAAAAGGATTTTAATATTAACTCTGAAGCAGAGGCTTTACTCTCAACTGTTAGATAAGCTTTGTTCCTGGCATACTTAGCATGATGGTGTTAGATTGAGTGTGCGAGGCAGGGTTTTGATATTGGAAAGCAGAACACTGCCAAGGCAGGTGTTTGGATGGTGATAATGGTGTGGGACGTGCGTTGACTTCAATTCTCGTTGTTCCTTAGAGTTGCTACTGAAGAGTTGGTTGACCAATATTTCTTAATTTTTAAGTAGTGTGCTTGATGCAGAAATAATGTGTGTAATTATGGACAAATACCTCAGGCATTCAAACACAATTTCAGACATGCTTACCCATTTCCAGAGAACAATTATTCTTTCACTTTGCCACCAGGCAAGTTCAGCAAACTGTTTGGCTTAATGCATGCAGAGTGGTTTGGCTCCTCCCCAGTGGAGGGGCTTCAAAGTCTCACTTGTGACTGTATTTGCAGAGACAACAAACAAAGAATTTTGAAAAGGCTGAAATTTCCCTGGTAGCCAAGTGAGAGAAATAATTGTGACAAGTAAAGTAACGCTGTTGTGGATGCTGTCCTGCTGGCAAGCTAATGGTGTGTACTCCTTCCCTGGAAGATACGGTGGGGGAGCGGAGCTGGCATGGAAGTACTCTGTAGATGCAGTACATTGCAAGTTGGTAGTTGAGAGGAAGGAAGCCTCCAAAGAATAGTTTTTCTTTGTGTTGGCTCATAGGTAATTCTGTTAGATTATTTGCTTTAACTGAGAATGTATTTGGTTTTTTAATGCATTTAACTTTGAACTATTTTTTTAGGCTTGCTCTGTGTGTGCGTGTATTTACAGCGGTCGCTTTGCAACCTTGCTGGCCAAACTGTTGTTCCTTCTCCTGGGAAGGTGTCACAGCACTTCTGCAAGATGGAGAGACCTGGGCTGATGGGAGAGGTTTGTCCACTGAAGCAGGGCTGAGCACGTCTGTCTGCAGGGAGAAGCTGGGAGGCTGCCTTTGGTCCTTGCGGCACGTGCCGGCCAGAGGACAGAGATACATAGGGTTTGCTGCGGGGTGAGGGCACCAGCTGGGCACACGGGTCGCAAGGGGCTGCTGCTCTTAGCATAGCAGGGTGCATTTTCCTAGCAGGCCCTTAGCAGGGCTGCCTGTCAGCCGTATGCATCACTAATTTGACCTGATGTGTATTTTGTTGCTTGCTAGAGAGACTAGTTAAAATCAGGGAGAAAAGTGAACTCTGAAGAGCTTGGCAAAATGATGAATTATGAACATCGAGTGAAACCTCGCATATTTGGCGCTTGGACTCTTGAAGCTCTGCCAAGCATGCTGATGCTTTCAGCTTGGCTGCAATTCTCTGAACTTTATTGTGGGTAGAAAACATGTGAGAAGTCTGTGAATGATGAGCCGAAGTTAAATGTAAAAATGTGTGAACTCTGAATTTGTTTCTCTTTCTAGCTGTAGGCTAAATCTTTTGATGAGTTTAAATTAAATTCTATAAGGATGCCCATTCAGTCAGTTCCTCTGTTGGCAAGATATTCTGTGGGTTACTTGCTATTGTTGGCAGCCATCTGAAGTTTTTTTTTTCTTTTCTCATTAAAATTAATGGCAGATCTTCTGTGTGTTAAGACAGCTTTGAAGATTTAGTCAATGTTTCTGGAAGCAAAAGTAGTAGTTGTTTCTAAAGCTAGATGCAGAAATGGAGTGTATTCACTACTGCACTCTGATTATGAAACATTTTGATTTCTTTGGTTTTGCTTTCTTGGCTTAATGTTTCTTTACACCTTTGGCTTATTTTCTCTTGTGAAACTTGTAGTACGGTTTATAGACAAATGTAGTGTTCACACTGCCAGTTCATTGCTGTTACATTTGGAGAGGAATTTTTAAGATGGGAGGCTAATCACAGCAACATATTAATGTAACAGTGGACAAATGTTTGGCTTTGGGATCTCTCAAAGTCAGCTGCAGTTCCTTTGCCCCCTTTCTGCTGCCTGTCCAGGCAGGTGTTGTGTGGGCAGCGTGGTGGGAGGCCAGGCGGGTGGTGGGCTTGATGCCTGTTCACGTGTCCATCTGTACTACTTGGAGAACTGTGTGCTTGAGTACCTCATCTAACTTAGGCCGGGTCCTAGTGAGGATGATGCTATCCCAAAGCAGAAGGAGGAGATATTGATCACAGTAGGAAACTGGAAGGTGCGAGGGAAGTCCTTTTTTATTGCCAATAATAAGAGTAAACTGTCACTGGAGAGACTGGTACTAGATAACGAGTAAATCTGTGCTGGAGTGTGTTCTGATTGACTGTCATCTGTAGTTGTCTCAAGTAGATTGTTGTGGCATAATAAGCACAAACCACATAATATGCCACATAAAGAAATGCTGGCTTGCACAGAAACTGCAAACCATTCTTTTTCTTCAGGGGATTAAAATTTTATCTTAAAAAAAGATATAGAGAACATGCATTATTGCTGAATGAGTCCTTCCAGAGTTTGTGTCCAATCAGATTCTGTAGAATCGCAAACACTCTTGGATAATGCTGCTTGTGATTTAATCACGAATCCCCATGGAGGATTGTATTCGTTGTCACTGTAGCTAAAAAAAAAAGCAACCAAAGAACATGAGGCCCACAAATCCACTTCCAGTGTGGTGGAAAACACTGCACAAGTTGCCTTTCTTTTGGCAAGCTGTTTTCCTATATGCGTCAGACTTCTGTACAAAATAGAAGTTGTCATGAGTTGGTGTGCTGCCACTTTAACATCACCATCTTGAATCTGAGCTCCTGAGGCTGGAGCAGTGGTGTTTGGTAAGCACCAGAGGTTGCGTTTTCTAGGCAGCGTCAGAACACAGAGCCGAGGAGCACAGTGCAAAACCTCTGACAAGTTTGAGCTGTGGAACCACAGCCTGAGTTTTTAACTACAGGTTGATGTTTGTATTAGGTGAGTTGTCCTGGAGGGAGTGGATAGAGAGCCTCCAGCAAAAGGCACTGCACATCACTGCTGGTCCAGCCGGGTGTTTTCAAAGCCAGAACCCTTGTGATGCATTTCCGTATGTGACTTCTGCTTTTACGTGGTAGGCAGCACGTTGCACTTCAGGGCTGTTTTGTCTTTCATGCTTCCCAGAACAGCGCAAAGCATCCCCTGCCGAATAGCTGTCAGGAAATAGATTGAAGGGCTGTGAGATCCAGATGGCTGTGTGGTTGCTGTACTGGGTAGTGCTCTAAAAGCCTTCACGGGTGCTTTGGTAGCAAATAGACATGGAGATTAGAAAGTTTGACATGAGGGTGTTCCAGGTTTGGTTGCTTTCAGATAATGTCTGTTAGGGAAACAATATTCTGCAGTGCTGGGGCGCTGCCTTTGTTAGTGGCTTGTTGGAATGGGTTCTCCACTGGTGTGTCACGAGGCGTGGGTGTGGGTGACAGCCTGGGGCAGGGACAGGGGCCAGGAGGTAGAGGTCCTGAGGCAAGATATGCCATGGGGCAGGAGGGGAAGAAAAGGTGCCAGCAAAGCTGAATGAAGAAGGAGTGGAAACCCCCATGCTGTGCCAAGAGCTGGAGTGCATTAATAGCAGGACTGATGCAGTCTGTAATAACCGTGGGCTTTCCGTGGTGTAAATGAGGCTCTGTCATGCTTGTCTTAAACAGCTCCAAGAAGTGATGGGTGTAGAACAACTTTTTTTGTTTGTTTGTTTGTATAACAACTTTTTTTTTTCTTTTTTTTTTTCTTTGTCAGCAACAGAGACTGTAATTCTTGGAATGACAGAGAGACATTTGTTGTTATTAGCATTCATGAGGTTTTAAATTTTTTCTCTGAAAAAAAATGTGGAGGCAAATAGAAATTCAGGAATCTTTTTGTGAAATATCCACAATCAGAAAGGGAGGGAGAAATTTTCAAGAACAATTTCAAGGAATTTCAATCTTTCTTCAAGATGAAATAAGCATGCAGCTATCTTCTCCAGTGTTGTTCACTGCATTCATTGTTGGTGGTGGTTTTTAGGCTTCTGTAGAGATAAAGTTCAGTCTGACATCCCTTTTTTTTTTTTTCACTTGATGCTTAAAATTAACATGCCAGTGTGTTTGTGTGTGAACAAAATCTTACAATTTAATTGTTTGTTTTTTTATTATTTACAAGGTGGAATATATGTTGGTAAAATTTGACCACGAGAATAAGAAAGTGCGCTTGGTGCTCTGTGGTGAAGAAGTTCTTCAAACCCTGCAAGACAAGGGGGAGAAGGTAAACCCCAAGTGAGTAGCTGTTTCCTGTTTGTTTTTTTTTTTTTTTTTTATCCTTGTGTTATCATTCTGTACATAATTGCATAGACCTGGCTTAACTTTCAAGTCTGCTGTCAGTAAAACAGTTAGCCACAGGTACCGATATTTTCAGATAAAGCTGGGGTGCAGGAAGTGATTTTGAGCACACTTGCAGGGAGGCCATGTGCCTTTTGTGTTATGGCTTGAAGGAAAGGAAGATGTCACGGTGAGCCCACAGAAGTTGCAGTTTGGGTATTTCTTTTGTCGTGCACTGGTTTTGTGACTGTGTGAACACAGTGATCACATACTACACCTTCCCTGCCCCGTAAGGTATGTGTGTGTGTGTGCACTCACCCCCGTATCCCTGACTGCAGGAGCGAGCGAGGGCTGTGTGGGGAAGCCTGTTGTCTGTCAGAGCGCTCTCCCATTTTTGGCAGAATTAGGAAGCTAGGTGTAAGGATGCCAGGGCAGTTCTTTCCCATCCTCTCCCATGGAGTTTTTAGGAATAACTGCATCATATACCTACTTGAACTAGCCAGAGAAGTGTGAATTGGCTTTTAACTGATGGCAGCAGAGAAATGAGACCAGAGACAGCACAGTGCTTTTGCTGAAGAGATCGAAAAGAAGGCTACAGCTTACAGGAAGATGGAGAAACTCTGCTGTTGCAATGAAAGGCTTTTGTGCCCTGGGCCTGTCTGCTTCCTTCTTAGGTACCTTAACATCGTCTTCCAGTAAGGCTTACCTGTCTGTCTTCCTCGGTAGAGGGAGTATGGAAAGCCTGCAAGAAGTAGTCCCTTTGGTTTTAGACTTTGTGCTTGAAACTGCTACTGCTGGAAGAACACTAGGGGACATACGGCTCTGCCTCTGTAGAGTGTGCTCCATGGAGCATGGCCTCACGAGGGGATGAGAAAGTCCTACTTCTCAGGGGTGAATAGGTGCGCTCAAACTTCATTTCTTAACCTGATAATTTGTGAAACAGGAACAGGTTTTCACAGGCAGTAGAAAGAAGAAATGGAGCATAATATTTGCCTTGTCTTGTACTGTGGAAGCAGTTGAACGTTCTGTTTTCCAGTTTCAGTTAAAATCCCGAGAAACAAAGCTTGAGACAGATAGTAAAGGTGATTGCAATTTGACATATGCAAATCCTACTTCCTGCACTATACAGCAACACTGCATACTGCCAAACTGTCTCCTAATTTCTTTTCACTGCCTCGTTACAGTGAGCTACATTGGAAGGTACGCTGTGTTACTCTAACAAATAATCAGCTTCAGGAGATTTTTCTTGCAAGTTGCATTCGTTTCTGAAATTCTCACAAATAATCCATCTTTTCTGAAGTTGTAGAAATATTTAAACTAGGCTGTTCTTTTATTATAGCCACCCAACACTCTGGCGACCAGAATATGGAAGCTATATGATTGAAGGGACTCCTGGGCAGCCATATGGAGGAACCATGTCCGAATTCAACACTGTGCAAGACAACATGAGGAAAAGACGGCAAGAGGCCGCTTCTGTGCTCAAAGAAAATGAGGCTGTTTGCACTGTGACATCATTTCCAAGGTGAGATGGCTGTTGAAGTGTAATGCTGTTTCCTTTTCTCCTTATGCTTTTTCTCCTTATTGCATGTAGCTAAACTGTACAATGAAACCAAGCAAAATATGATTCAGTTAAAGGACTTTGGCTTAACATTCTGGTCATGTTTCCTAAAATTTCTGTTGCAATGAGAAAAACAAATAAGCATCTTTTATATTTTTAGGTTACTTCTAATCTGTGATAATTTTGTATTAGGAGAGAAGAATATTTGTAACATGAAGTATTGTATGTAAAATAGCCTGCTATCTTGAATTGATACAGCATAGCATATATAAAAGGTTTGTCTTTACCTATTTTGCAAGCCTTGATCTTTATAAATAGAATTTTTGTAAAACATGTCTGATTTGATCTATTTTTTAACACTACCTTTTCACTAAAACACATGCAAACTTCTTTTGGTGGTTCGGAGCGCACAGTAGAACAGGAATGTGATTATCCTTACAAAATGAAAACTTAAAATTTCTATAGTACTGTACTTACTGAATGTAGAAAGGAGTGCACCTCTCCTGGGTTCATAACACCCTTACAAAGTGTAGATTTCCTCCTTTTAATTCTTGTAAAGAAACTCTTGAAGAAATTAAATTCATGATGTACTTCATTACCTAGGAGAAACTATACTTTGTGACCTTCCTTTCAAACATATTTCTAGGCAGGGATTTATTATGTTCGTTCTAACTAGCCTGGTCAGTCAAATCAATTAAGATAGTTAAGCTTAAAAGAGTAAAAAAAAATTGCTCTACAGTAGAAGAGAAGCAGCTGGCCTTACTGGCTGGTTTCTTGTGAAGTACAGAATGCAGTGGCCCTAAGTTCTTGCTGTGAGCAAGAATGGTACAAAATGTGACTTAGCAGCAAAGTTCAGGTACCAGAATGCCTGCGTTATGCCCCATGAATGCTATCTTAAGGACACTCTTGGCAAAATATGCTGCTTCTTTATGGGAGCTATACTAGATATCTTGAAAGTAATAAGAGCTTAAAGCCTGATGGTTGAGTAGTTCTTAGTGTGTTACAGAACTGGTGGGTTTTTTCTCCAGCAACCTTACACAAATAGGTTATGTCATTTAATACATTTTGTATACAAACCTTTCAGACCCAGTCTTATAAGGAATAAAGGGAGAGGAGTTCTTCATCACTTTGTAGATACAGATAAATACTTTGTACATCAGTGTAGGAGCAATACATTAGACTTCATTGAAAGCCAGTAAATAATAAAATGTAGGTTGTTTATTACTTACGGATCATCCCAAACATAGTTTCATCCTTCAGAGATTGTTCTCCTTATGCTATTTAGTTTCTTATTTCTGCCTTTTGCTATCTTGCCATTCGAGTCCCTGTTGGTTTCTCTGGAGTCCTGCTAACATGTGTTTCTGAGGTTTTGTGGGTTTGAGGTTTTTCGCTACGTTGTCTCTGCACCAGCACATACATACATGCCTGTGTGTGTCTATGCATATACGTGTGTGTATAATTAAAAAATCAGTGGATCTGAAAAGACAAAGTTGTTAGAGTGCTTGCAGAAGAGAGGTAAAGAAGTAGGCTTATTCAAATTAAAATAACTCGGTTAAAAATGAACAAACTTTGAAAATGCCTAAATATTTAAAAATACTAGCTTAGATGCTAAATTAATATCCTTAGTTCTTAAATTTGTGAGCCCTTGCTACTGGACCAGAAAGCTGTTTTCTTTCTTGAGGACTGGAGTGATGCAGTTTACAGTGTTGCACTAATGTAAGTGATGAAGTTGGATTTACGCATTGTAGGACAACTTGTATATTTAAACCAGGAGGAATAAATCAATAGTAAAGTACATGTTGAACATAGATAATATTTCCAGAAATTTGAGCGTTTCCTGGTATTTTGAGTAGTTGGCTTGTAGTTGTATCAGCTAACCTTTTTTTATACATCCAGATATGAGAGGCTCTTGACATAACACAATCTTTGTCCTTTGTACTGTGCAGCATGGAGAAATTAATCTTCTGCAGCTTTACCTCCAAGTTCTTAAATGCTCTTTTGTCTCAGTTGTACTGAAAACCTACTTAGTCTTGTTTCAGATGACTCTTCAACTTACAATGGAGGTTCCAAAGGGGAGGGTTGTATTCTGATTTACTTGCGTATCTCTCAGCATTTTACACCTGATAGCTGTAATTTTTCTTTGCTTGTTACATTTCTCTCATTTATGAGGTTTTTCAGAGTTCCAGAATGGCAAACAGCTGTGAGACTTGGGACATGTGCATCACTTGAAACTACCTCTAATTCTTACAGAGTTGGTTAGGTACATCTTTTTAACAGGAGTGGATTGTTGAGGGCAGAGCTGGATAAATTACTTCAGCAATCAACATTAACCTCTAGAGAAACTGTTCAAGGCATATAATGCAGCTGCATGCCATGCATTCATGACTGGTGCTAAAACACTAAAATGTGTGTGCTCTCTGCATAATACTGTGAAGTTTCCTGCTCCAGCTGCTGAAAAGGTCCATATTTGCTGTCCAGTGATAGAGTAGTCATTTTTTTAAAAAACTGTTTTAACCATCATGAAAGCCAGTTGTTGGCAAGCGCTGACCTTTTAACAGCAACTTTTTAAAGACCTCTTTCTGGCAATTTCCATTGTGTCTTGAGAAATGCTTCAGTTTAAAAAAATCTCTTCTTATTCCTTTGCCTACTTGAATTGTAATCTCTGATCATCTGCCCATTTTAAAATCACAGTCAGTTTTCATAACAGCTTGGATCTCATTGTTGTGTTACATAGGTTGGGGTGTCCTGGGTTTACGGTGCCGGAATATAAGCCAACGCCAGTAGAAGGAGGAGCTTCAAAATCCCTCTTTTTTCCAGATGAAGCCATCAATAAACATCCTAGATTTAGGTAAGAGTATTTGGAGAGTGTGAATGAGAAGTTTAATATTTTTCTTTGCCTAAATATCCTAGACATACCTGCAACTTCTTTACTTACTGGAATAGAGAGCTATGTGGCTGGTTGCTGCAGATATCCCAAGGACTTGGAGACAGTTGTAATCATGTGTATTTTCTGTCAAAGCGACTTAAGAAAGTAAATTGTTAAGTTTGAGTAACTTTATATAGTAGTTCATGCCATTATGGGGTAAAAGGTGTTGATTATGCCACTGAAAAATTGTTTCCAGGTTGAAATCCCATGGCTAACCACTTCCATCACAGTTAATCCAGCTCAGGTGTGTCACATCAGCATCTCGGTGTACTAGTAACTTGCCCTTGTTACTCTGAAATGGAGCATGGTGTCAGTCTACTTGTGTAGTCTGAGAGGGGTTTTTATTATAAGATGAGATTTAGGAGATTGAAAATGATGTAAAAACTAATCATGCCTTTTCACTTGTCCTTGTATTCTTCAGGTCAGTAGCCTTTTAATTCTGCCTGTTCTATCAGTATAGTACTGTGAAGTGCATCAAAATAAAACTGACTTTACTGAGGAAAAATTCAGTGTTGTATCAGTTATAGTCTGTCTTAAACTAGGAAAAGAAGTCTCCTGAAGGAAAATGCTCTAAATAAATAGAAAGTTGACGTTCTGAAACCCTGAAAATTGCTGAGAAACTAACCTCAAAAACATTTCCATAAAGAGAAACTTCCAGATATTTCAGCAAACTGGTTTTGTTTGTTGTAGTACACTGACCAGAAACATTCGTCATCGAAGAGGGGAGAAGGTTGTGATAAACGTACCGAGTGAGTAAATTCAATCTATCTTTTTTTCTTTTTCAAAATAATTGTTCAATCTAATGTTCTGGGTTACTGAGTACCTGCATTTTCCACACAGTATTTAAAGATAAGAACACGCCATCACCATTTATCGAAACATTTCCTAATGATGATGGAGAAGCAGCAAAAGCAGCTAAGCCAGACTATATATACATGGATGCTATGGGCTTTGGAATGGGAAACTGTTGTCTTCAGGTAAAGTGTCTCTGGTTTCAAGGTGTTACTGAATCTTGTCTTCCCTAAATGCTTCCCTTTTTAAGACTTGCCTTATGTCTAATTTCTCTAGTTTAATTCAACTGATGCATTTTCAGAGTGGCAAAAGGGGGGGATAAAACAATAAATTTAATGTTATATATAGTAATGTAGCCTTAAAATCCAAGTTTGTTTCTTTGCATTATGTTTATCTTGTACTAATATTCAAATGTAATTGGATGCCTTGCTGAAAGGGTTTTTTGAAGTGGTCAAACTCCATTTGATCAAGCTCCTGGAACTCCAGCACTTTTCCAGTGTAAAAGATCATCTTCCACTGTGGTGGTCTTTCGGGCATGACCAAAGGACACTGTGGGAATGGAAACTGAGTTGCCTTGTAGCAATGCGTGGGGTTTTTGGTTATTCATTTTGAGTATTTTCCCTTTTCCCCGTTCTTAGAATGGTCCTCTTGTACCATGAACCTACCAAATCCTCATGGGTTGCTGTCTTCTGTTACTGCGTGCTGAGAGACATTTTTGGTTCTGTTTTCTGCCGTTAATTCATGCCCACTTCTTGTTGTTTTCATTCATTTGCCTTAGTTACTATTATCTTAAAGTATCTTCTGTTTAAATCCAGATGCTGTATCTTGGGAGTGCTTTAATCCTTTCAATATCTGTTTGTTTTAAATGTTTATCACAGTAACCTGATGCTGGGGGCTGATGCCTTAGGTAGTAGCGATGTATTTGACTGTTGATAAAAACTGCCTGTTGCTACTGCTGTCTTGGAAGCAGAGCTGGGAAGAGGCTAGTGTTAAGTCTCTAGGGGATTAAAAGAAATTCTCCAAGCTCTTCTTGTTTCTCAGCACTGGCAAAAATTACTGCATTCAAAACACTTCCCTTTGAGCCTGAGAAACTACAAAAGCTGAATAAATGAAATGTTCTTGACAGCAGTTAAGTATGATTTCATGTCACTAAGAGTAAACTAGGGAGAATCTGATGAAGCAGTAAAGTGTATATAATACTGCATACTTTTACAAGGTGTTAAGTTTGGTATGGTCATTTTGTACCATTTCTTTCTTATTTAAGACCAATGAAAGAAATACAGCCTTACTGTTCAGTCATTGTATGAACTTGTTTAGAAATATATTAAATTCCTTTTTATGGAATACCATTTTACTATTTCCCATTCTTGTAATTGGTGGTCAGATTCAAATTTGGTAGTCTTGTTATCATCAAAGGGCGAATGAAAACAAGGCTGGTAGGTGCTATAAGCAGCTGCTTGTGTATCAACTGATAATTCTTGATAACAGACTAGAAGAAACCACATATGCCCCACGTATTTTCTGTAAGGTAACTTGCAATATGCATACTTCGTTTTGTTTCTCTTCTCACTACCGCCAAGCTACAACTTGGTTTGGTATATTTCCAGGGTTAAAACTAATGTCCTGATGCGCTTGGCCAAGACAGCCCATGGCAGTGGTGGGGTGGGAGCTGCTGCCCCTGCGAACGGCAAGGCAAACCGTTGAGCTCCTGCCCCTTTGTTCTGTCCCCCCCACCACCCCAAGGCAGGCTCTTCAGTGCTGGAAGTCCAAAATTAGTGATGAGAAATCATACTGAGCTGCTTCTCTGCAAGAGAATTAAATAATCTTGTAGATTCAAAGTTGGTTTTTTTTCTGATAGGAACTTGAAGGATGGACAAAGAATAAGTATTTTTCTCTACCACACACCCTTTTTCTGACTTGGGATGTTTTAGTGAACGTTGGCTGCAGATTTAAAAAGACAAACAAAACAAATGCAAATTCCATATTCCTTCTAGACCCTCCCCCCCCCCCCCCGAAAAAAAAAAAAAATCCATCACTGAGCCCACCAGTGAACTTGGGAGTTTTGGAGGGTTTTTTCGGTTGGTTGTTTTTTTAAAGGCTTACTTGGGGTTGAATTGGGCTTCAGTGGCAGACTGAGAAGAACCTGCATGTTTTGTGGGACTCTGTAATTGTAATCTATGGAAGAGGAAAATCTGTGTTTGGCTGGTATTCTTCATGACAACAAGCAGCAACAGTGATTTAGAGCTGAAGCCTGTTGTCCATTGTTCTGATAGTGACACAGGGGTGCACTCCTATCTAAGATATCCTCTGATCTATGAACATGTAAACTGCAAAGGAGAGAGGCTTTTAATTTGATTGGCATCTTTTAACAGTTTTGAGGTGATTGATTCCCCTCTGCATTTTAAAATGCATAAAGTGTCAGTTTGAGAAATCTGGAGGGTAATATCTGCTACTAGAAATACGTCTCGTGTTTGATGCTGCTCTGAGGAAATTTCACCAACAAATAAGTTATATTTTCCACTGGTCTGTGTGTGGTAGGGCTTCCATATCATTAATGGCTTCAGCAAATAACATTTCTTGTCCGTGTTTTGCTGTGTCCTGGCCTCTAATACAGGCAAAACTGGACTTCTTTTTTTTAATAAAAATTACAGTAGACAGGAAGATATTTAGTTTTTGCAGGATCAAAGGCATCTTGAAACGTTCCTTAAAACAGGATTAGCTGTCACATAAAACAAATATTATATCTACAATAGTTTCTGACTGTTGTTCTAAGTAAGTAGGTTCCTGGCTTATTTCCTGCAGGTACATTACTGACTCGTGTGTTGTAGATGTTAACTCAGTTTCCTTTGGTTCTGGCAAGTGTTTGTATATTTAGCCTCACAGCCAAAGTGTTATGGTCTGAAATCTTTCAATGAACATAGAAATGGTGTGGGAAGAAGCACATAATATAAATGCTGCTGATAGAGGGGGCGAAAGTTTGTCAAAGTATTGGGGGTGGCAGGGGAATCCACACAAAAAATCCCACCCAAAACCAACCAAGCACAAATAACCTTAAGATTCTTGGTATGTAAATTGTTTTATTATATCATTGATTCTAAATCTAGGAAGACTGTGCTTACACTATGATTATAGAAATTGTGATAGCAATTGTTGTTCTTCCAACAGGTGACATTCCAGGCTTGCAGCATTTCTGAAGCAAGGTATCTCTATGATCAGCTAGCCACGATCTGTCCCATTGTGGTAAGTGATGGACTTCTGTCACACCAGCTCTTTGTTGTTTGAAAGCCACTACATCTGAAAAAATAAAATCTAAATTAAAAGAAAACTTGCATGCTACTCCCAAATGTGGTACTCTGCGATAAGTGTGGGTCTCTTGCTAGGTTGTCACATGAGCAGTGTGATTTAATGTCCAAATGACACCACAAAACAGGTGATGTCTGTTTCTTCTCTGCCTGCCTTCCCACATGCATGAGACTCTTGTTCAATAGTGCCAGAAGTACATTTGTGGCAGTTTTTCACAAAACCAAGGCAAGCTCACTCCTTAAAACTATTTTTAATTTTTTAGCTCTGGTCTGCCTTTACAGAGGGTTTCAGTTTAAGTTGTTTAAATCTGTCCCTTTTGTAAGCACTTAGTCATAAACAGGTGTTTATAACAGGTGTTATAAAGTATTGGTCTGGTCTTGGTGGTGAGCAGATCCTGCTCAGTGAGGTATGTTCCAGCTGCGTTGCTAAGATTCTTGACCAAACAAAAATATGTAAAGATTAAGATTAGATATTAGGAGGAGGTTTTTCCCTGTGAGGGTGGTGAGGCGCTGGAACAGGTTGCCCAGGGAAGCTGTGGATGCCCCATCCCTGGAGGGGTTCAAGGCCAGGCTGGATGAGGCTTTGAGCAGCCTGGGCTAGTGGAGGGTGTCCCTGCCCATGGCAGGGGGGTTGGAACTTGATGATCTTTAAGGTCCCTTCTAACCCAAACCATTCTGTGATTCTGTGAAAACAATTGCCAGGTGAGCTCTTGGAGTTTGGAAGTGTGCAAGCAGAATACTTGTTGATCTGTCATTAAATTGCTTCTGTCTGTATCATATTTGTGTTCCTTAATTTGGAGAGCGTTGAATGCTGCTTCAATAGTACTAACGCTTCACCTAGGCATTTTCTGGAATAGTAGTTGGGAGATTTTTGTTTGAATGGGCTTTGGCTGTACGTTAAACTGAACTACATACTTCATTTACTTCTGGACCAGCAAGTTTCCCTTTCCAGTGGGCTTGTATTTTGCTTTCGGTGCCTTGGCTTGTCCTGTGTTTTCATATCAGGCTGTTTTATTTTAGATGGCGCTGAGTGCTGCATCTCCATTCTACAGAGGCTATGTGTCCGATATTGACTGTCGCTGGGGAGTAATCTCTGCATCTGTAGATGATCGAACACGAGAAGAGAGGGGGCTAGAAGTAAGTAATGTTAGGTACTAGGTGTCTCTTTTTTTCAGGCAAAAAAGTTAAATCTCCTTTTCTATGAAATTCTGCTCGTGCTCCTCAGAACCCCTAACAAGGGAACATGGCAGTCTTTGTGGTAAATATAGGAGAGAGGGTGTAAACATTCACCTTGCTTGTACAGTTTATGTTAGCAAATACATATTTTTAGTTAGGTATGGGATCACAGTAGAACTCCACTCACTCACTCCACAGCTCGCTGAAAAGCTCTCCATGTGATGAAACTTTCCAGTCTGTGCTTGAGCCCAAAAAGCAAAACTTGCTTTGGATTAAATAGCAGGTGCTGCTGAGTAATCCAGTAGTATAAACTGTGTGAAAAGAGCCAGTTGTCAGCACTTCAACCTAAGGAGTTTTTCTAAGCAAGAATTGGCATTCAAGGTATTTACAAAATTATTTTAAAAAAAAAATTAAAAAAACTACTTGAAATATTTATTTAACTATCCATTTTAAGAGCATTTATAACAATGTGCGTGTAGTGAAACTGTATTGGTATGTATTGCAATAGGGTAATAACGCTTTCCAGGTACTTGGGGTAATGGTATATTACATCAGGAAAATGTTTCCACTTTTAGAGAATTCTAGTCAATGTGTGATGACTGTTTTTTCACTCAGATGTGTACATCTGCAAACAAAATAGTCATAACTCCAGGATCGCTTTCTGTTAAGCCTATTTAAGACTCTTGCTTTGAACAATTTTAATTGAGGCTGTAGGGTTTTTTAAACAGAATAATAATTCTCACATATGTGTCATTAGTGAGCAAAACTTAGGTAACATTGTTAACAAGCTGTTAAAATATTGTATTCTTAAATTATATAGCCACTGAAGAACAACCATTATAGAATCAGTAAATCCAGATATGATTCCATAGACAGTTATCTATCTGAATGTGGTGAGAAATACAATGACATTGATTTGACAATAGACAAAGATATCTACGAGCGCCTAATAAAGGAAGGTAAGTGTTTGCTTCATTATGAGCAGGTTAAGAATTATGCTTGCAGTGTGTGGGGATTTTTACGTTTTTAATCCTGCTTGTTTCAAGCATTGTGCATCCCTCAGAGTGACTCCTACTCAGGAAGTATCTGTGTAGTGTGGTCTTGAGAGTTTTTTAAAAAGTATTTATAATGCAGACTGTCCCTAATTCCAGCTTGAGAAAGCTCAGTGTTTGACACATTACTGTTTTATCTTTGTGGAGAGAGCACAACTGCTTTAGGAAACCTGGCACAGAGGTGCATCAGAAAACAAGGAGTATGGCAGCCACACCAGTACTCAGCTGCCATTTCCAAACAAGATCCTGTTCTTTTTTTTCTTTGTTTTTTGTTTGTTTTTTTTTTCTCTTTAATCATTTGCTTCCTTCCCGAAGTCATCATTTAAACTTTAACAGGATGTGGTGGGTTGAGGTAGGATGCAGAGTTGGATGTTTTCAGTCTTGTAAAACAGGTTGTTTCCCAGAGCCTGCTTTGCTATGTGTGACTTGTTTGAATTTTCATTTTGTAGGTATTGACCACCTTTTGGCACAGCATATTGCACACTTGTTCATTCGAGACCCCTTGACTTTGTTTGAGGAGAAAATACACCTAGATGATGCAAATGAATCCGACCATTTTGAGGTTGTGTCTGATTTAGAGGAATTTAATAAATAGATACATAAAATTGCTTATTCTTTATAGTACTGCTTAATTAAAGGATGGCTATATTAGCTAAGAATTTTTTTCTCCAGAACTTTTCACTTCAACTAGTTCTTTAGCATATGACTTTGCAGCTATAAGCACAATTATTTCTTTGTTTTATCATCTATTTAGGAGGAGGCAGTGGTTATACTTTAAAACCAATAAAATATGAATAGCCCAAACTGTAGCTATGTATATGTGTTATGGGGAACTGTCTGTTTTTATGGCTTCTTAAAAACTGTTTTGCATGACATTTACATATAAATGTCTTATATAGCTTTATGAAATAATATCTATGGTAATATTAGATATTTTTAGTTTGGGATGCATCAAACCCTCATAAAATAAGTAAGATAAATCTCAGGCCCCTAGTACCTTATACGTAATCCTCAGACAAAATAGCATGAAAAAGGGTAACATATTTGCTTCTAGGATGGGTAGTTATACTGTGGTTTTTAGGAAGTCATGCCACTTAATTTGGAAGAACTTTTCTAACTTGATGGGTTGTGCCAGGGAAAATAATAGGACTCTAGTTTAATCTGCTTATTTTTCTTAGATTGTATTATAGAATGATGCATATCTTGATTGTGACAGATGATTTCATGTGCTTTGCAGAATATTCAGTCTACAAACTGGCAGACAATGAGGTTTAAGCCACCTCCTCCAAATTCAGATATTGGATGGAGAGTGGAATTCAGACCTATGGAGGTAAGGAAGGCGTCGGCATGCACAAAAGCACATGTCCTTTCAAGTGGAAAAGGATCAGGCATTCTGCCATCTAGCATCAAACCCTTATTTACTTACGCCGTGTTTTCTCCCTTCTGAATTGCTAGATGCAAGTGAAGTGGACAGCAGTGCTTAGTCAGACATGGACTGTGGGAATGTAACTGACAGGAGAATCCACTGCAGCACAGCAAAGCATGCTAATGGATTTGGGGTGATGGGGAAAGGAATTAGGCTTGTATTAAAGCAACTGTAAACAAAGTCCCATTTAGCTTTTAGGGACTGTATTTCTCCAGTACTTTTCCTGGTAGTGATCAGTTGCATTGTCATTGTTTCGTTTTTCACAAGTGCTTTAATTTTATAGCTGTCTATTTTTGAGCTCTCTGAATTTAATCCTTTTAAAGGGGAAATTTAAAAGCTATTATACATTTGTAATTACACAGAGAACCCGAAGGTACAGGTTATTAGATAGTCTTTTGAAACAAAAGTGTGTTTTGGCATTGATTTAAAGGGTTGAGTTTGTTGAAGTGTGTGCGTGCACTCTGCATTTGAAGTCACTGCTGATGGTTCCAGCTCATGCATCACCATCTCTGCTAGTAGAGTGTGTTTGAATACAAGTACCAGTTTTAAACTCTCAAAGATATTTATTTATCTCCGTGAGTGTGTTCCCACTGAAGTAATTTAGTCCTTTCATGTCTAGGTCCAGTTAACAGACTTTGAAAACTCTGCATATGTTGTGTTTGTGGTATTGCTAACCAGAGTGATTCTGTCATATAAACTGGATTTTCTCATTCCTTTGTCGAAGGTAGGTATGAAAGTTCAGATCTATTAGAGCTAAATGCGCAGTGTATTTGCATCAAGTCTGATTTTTATCCTGTGCAAGGTAGGAACTAATATTTGCATACTTATGGAACAGTCATTTTTATCTTTCAGTCAGTTTTCATCTGTACCAGTACTTTGAATCAATTTCAACTCTGCAGTATTAAACAAATCCTTTACTGCTGTCTCACGGAATCAAGCTTATAGATGAATACTGTGGGAATTTCTGTGGTGCCCAGCAGTGTCTGACAACTACAGAAATGTTGAGAAAACCCATTGTCACAGGACTGTTTTGAGACTGGAAAAGGGCACATTTCCACCATTTTACATCTGGGGAAAATAACCCGTGGAGGTCAAAATGAAAACTTCAGATATTTATTTTAACATGGCTGTTGCCTATGTTGTTGTGTTTTTATTCTCTGTTTTGTTTGTATCTGGTGGAGAGGAAAAGGAGGAGTTCAGCATGCTTACTGTTAACACAGTATTTGAGTGAAAACAAATACTGCTGATTCTGGTCACAACTATGACTTGTGTTTAGACAGACCAGCCATGCAAATCCTTAATCTTGTCCTCACAATTGTTGAACTGGTTTGGGTGAAACTGTCCTTGGACATCTTCTTTCTGAGGCACCTGACCAGAAAATGTCTTTTTAAATGCATAGTCCTCCAGTGTTATAGGCAACTTTAAAAAAGGTCTCTGCAGTTCACAAGGCTTTTGACAGGCTGTATGCTAGAAAATATGCTGCCAGTGCTGGCTACAGCATAGCACTAGTATTGTGCAGCTTTTCTTATTGTTTTTAATTAAAATGGAGAAAAATATTGAAGTTGTAAATTAACAGTAATAGTACTGTTAATTGGTATGTTTTCTAAAAGGAGAAATTCTCTTGCTGATTTCACAGAGTTCAGACTTCATAAATAATACAGCAATTGAGCACTTTCAGTGCATAATTACATTGTTATTTGGAATGTCTCAAAGGCACAAAATTTTTAACTAATGAATACAGTTTAAGACTGAAAAAAGAGTTCAGATGCTGAAAGAACCTGAACAGAGTTGGGAGTCTAGGGGGGGCGTAAAATTGCTTGAGCTTGCCAAGAAATTTGGCAGGTAATGCAACACAGAATTGCACAACCATTGGTAAGCCTGCCTCTTTCAAGTAAAATAATATGGGTTTATGGGGCTAATCTCACACTAATCTTTGCTGTCTGATTGAGTGTGGTTGCATTCCCGTCAGCTAGGACTGGAGTTCTTTCGAGCTTTCAAAACAGCCTGTTGTGTAAATAGGTTTCATAATATAAAATGAGTGAAAAGAGACTTTTGAAAACAAAGCTTTGAAGGGTAAGAAGTGAAGATTTTTGCATTGCCCTTAATTAAAGGTCAAACAAAGAATTTGGTAAATCACATCCTTCTTCTGAAGACAATACAGTAAAGCTCATGTCCAAAAGCTGCATGATGTTAATTCCCTGAGAACATGCCAACCAAAGAACTTTGACAAAATCTTCTGTCCGGAAATACAGAGCAACACTTATGTCATTGGCAGAGCATATGAGGAGTGCTTTGCAGTTTGTAGACCTTTTGAGAAGCCTGCAGCTTAGAACTTCTTTACTAGCAGTCTGAGTTTTATCTAACAGATGTTTGGGTATGGAATAGATATGATTACCATACAAAGTTACTGAAATTCCATTTCTGAAAGTTTGTTTAATACAGTGATAACTCTTCTAAATACTTAAGTGATTTTGTTAATAAAAACAGCAAACTGTGGCTAGGGAAATGGCAGTTTTCTTCTGCACTCGTTTAAATTGTATCTAAATATGCAAAGAAGTCTGCCAGATGGGATGCAACCTGTTAATCACAGCTGTTCCTGTGTTTTCATCCAAACCTAAGGCATTAGCATAGCATGTTCTGCCATTGCTTTTTCTGATGGAGACCCAGTTTCATAGAACGTCATCCCTTTGTGGTTTTGGCCAGGACCCCTGAAGGATGAAGTAAAACTTAACCTCCTCAGCTTAGCCTTAGGTGATGATAGATGTTTCAACTAATGAGACCAACATGTAAGGGTTTGGGAGAATCCTCATTTTCTAGAATGTCAAAAACTTCTGAAATACTTCTTTTGACAGGTGGATGAAAACATGAAGGTGGCCCAGAAAAGAGATGCTGTCCGGCAGGGAATGTTTTACTTCAGAAAAGATATTTGCAAAGGTATCACAACAACAAATCTGATGAACACTGTTGTGGATCTTTAGTGCACCTCTTGCCTTCTAACCATTTCTTCCTTTCCCTTTGTGTCACCTGTGAAGGTGGAAATGCTGTTGTGGATGGATGTGGCTCTGCACAGAACGGGACAGGCACTGACGCAGAAGAGTACACCTTAATGAGCATTGATACCATTATCAATGGGAAGGTCATAGCCTCTTCTATCTGTAACACACAACTTTCCCCTTCATTCCACCTTCCCAGAAACCAGATTGAGTGTGTTTTATGCTGACTCTGTCCTCTTACACAGGAAGGAGTCTTTCCTGGCTTGATCCCAATTTTGAATTCCTATCTTGAAAACATGGAAGTGGATGTGGACACAAGATGCACCATCCTAAACTACCTGAAGCTAATAAAAAAGAGAGCATCTGGTATGTTTGACACTTTTGGGCATTAATTTTCCTGTTGTTTTTCTAGTTAGATAGTAATTGAACTGTTCTCTAGTTTTCAGTTGGGTAGAACTGGTGGCAGCTGTGGCTGTCTGGTTAGGTGTTGAATCATAGGAGCGAAGGACTGGAGTGTGTCTTCTGGCTTAAATCTGGTCCTGTCTAATTCTGATTATAAATGTTTTGCGATCCATTTTAGAACTTCAATTAGTAGTGATTGATACAGTTACACTACCGTCTAAGCTGTAATTTTATCTCCAATCCAAGATTTCTCTTTTCAGGGCCACTTACTGCTGGTTTTGACAGCATATTGTCCACTTTGTAGTAATTTGCACATATACTAAATCCCCTTTGCCTGTCACTTACGTGTTGTAAGAGTGTGTGAGGCTGGGTCTGATAGCCTGGTATTACTGGTGTGACTCCAAACTGTGCTGCTGCAAAGCACTCATAAGTCTAAATTCTGGTATGCTAGAGCATGAGACCTAATGTTTAGCACTCTGATAAGAAAGCCCTTCTGTAAGTAGCAGGATTTCAAGGCAGAGCAAACCAGGCTCTTTGCCTGTCTTCCCCCTGTTGTAATTTTCGAAGACAGGCAGTATAATGACTCTTCATTCTCCTTTTTAAAATGCAGCAGTATAATGATTAAAAGATGCAGGCTAAACTTTAATTCAGAACTGGGCACGTAGCACAGTCTGCAGCAGCTTTATACATTTCTATGTGCAAATCACTATGCCTGCCTTGCTGTAAATGTAGCTGGACAGTTAGTTTTAGTCTCATAAGTCAAGACATCTCTCCCGCTTTATACCTTTCTATGTGCAAATCCCTTGTATGCCTGCCTTGCTGTAAATGTAGCTGGACAGTTAGTTTTAGTCTCATAAGTCAAGACATCTCTCCCCCCCCTCCCCCCCAATGGAATATATTAATTGGTTTTAAACTGAAGTGTTGCATTCCTTTTTAATTCTTGAAAATTGCTGTAGAAGCTTCTAGGTAAAGACCTTTTTAAAGGTGAGGTGGAAATCAGGACTTTAACAGTATTTCAGAACGGTACCAAGTTTGAATTAATTACAGCTTTCACTGTAAATGTTCTTTGCTGTAAGGCTGTATGTTTGTAGGAGGCTTCTGTCCCTCAGATAACATAGACATGGATTTGATGCTTGGCTTAACCGAGGGAGAGAAGAGAAACTGTCAGGAAGAAAACTTCTGAGGCACATCAGCCCTCAAAATAACAATGCTTTCAAAGTATTCCATTGTTTATTGTTGGGTTTTTTCCCTTCAGAAAAATGCTGTTGGAAAAAAAAATGAATGTGTAAGTTTTATAGAGGTTTTTTCCAAGAGCTAATAACCTGGGCTTGACCCCATGGGCAGGTGTTCCCCTTCCAAAGAACAACTTTGGTACCTGTTGGAAGGTCACAGGTATTGCAAAAGTCAGCTTGCTATTTACACAGACCTAAAAGTTATGAGAGTGAGATGGATAGGGTGTAGGGTTTATGTCTTAACTCTGATGAACTCAAATGATTTTAAAATGATGCTTCGTAAGAACCAGAATTCACTGAATAAAAAGCATTAGGTATTGTATTACTGTGCCATGATATTTATCAATTGTGAGTTTTGGATTATTCCAGTTTACTCTCAGTCTTAAATCAAATGTTCCTGAACTACAGGCTGTCTAGCATGAGACATGTTCACAAAGAGTGGCCATTTGTCAGATTTCATTCTTTAAGTGCTGAACACAGATCACCCATGAGAGTTAAACACTGGCACTTTAGCTGCTGTGGCTTTAACCTTGCCCTGACATCTCTGCTTCAGTCACACTTTCTCCCGCACGCAGCTGGGTATCGCCCTCCTGGTCTCCATGTAGCTGCTGTGTGGCTGCGACCACTCAGTAAGGCTACAGATTTGCTAGGCAGGCAGCAGCTGCTGACCACCACCAAATATTAATGAAAGTGCTGTTAAGATAGCAGCATCAAGCGATCCCTGTCCTGGCACGCTCTCCTGGTTGCTGCCTGTCTGCAGGGCAGGCATTTTCTCAGCTGAGGATGGTGCAGTAATCGTGGTGCTTGATGACCATTCACAGCCATGATCTCTGTGATTGGTGCCTTACCCTTCTTGAAGCAGTTACACTTCTGGTCCTCATAAAGCCATTCAGTAAGAATGCCACCATTTTATTGTATGCTCTTTGAAAAATGTAATTCCTGTAGTTTTGCGTGTTTAAATGGACTTCACGGTTATTTCATGATACATCTTCTAGTTCCTGCGTTGTAGGATAATGTTTCTCTGCTCCTCATCAACTTTTGTGATTTTGCAAAGTTTGCTGCTTCCAAACTTGCGATTTCCTTTGTCTTCTCTCTCCTTGCTTGGAAGTTGTCTCGTACCTTTTGTCAGTCGAGGGTGCCTTTTTCACGATAGTTGTATGTTCTTTGGGAGCTGCATGCTGTGTTCAGGATGAAGGTGCTGCAGATTTACACCAGATGGGAGCAACCGGGCTGCCTGACCACTAGGTGTCTGTGTTGGGGTGAGCTGTCTGCTCTCCCATCTCCTGCACTGACAGCCCAGAGCAGCTTTTAGTCCAAAAATGTATCTCTTTCTATGCTCTGCTCTTCTCATTTCCTAGCCCAGTGGATATTTCTTGCAGGCCCCCTGCTGTTCGTTGGTTTGAGAAAGTTTTTGTGTGAGATTTAGTGCCTTCAATGAGTAATGCTTCCTGTTTTGGTTTGGGTTTTTTTTTTTTCCCCTGCCCTCTTTTTATGTAGAAGTGCAAACTCTGGCCTCATTTCTTTAAAACATGACTTCTGGTTTTTGAGGGACATTTTTATTTTTAATAAACTTTTTTATTCAGCTTTTCTTTCCTGTACTCTTCACAATTTTTCCCATTTGGGTTCATGTACTTCTGTTCAAAACCACTGATAGGATATCTTTAAACAGTCTTTGATACTTTTTATTTGTGTGTTCCTCCTTGCTTTCCCATATTTGATTCCTCTTGCTTTTTATAAGATTCTTAAACCAAAGATTTCTGTGGTGGAAGCCCTTGACTCTTTCCACTCTTATTAGGAAGCTGAGGTTCCAGCAGCAGTGGAAGAAGTCTCTGCGTACCTTAATGTTTACTGTCAGCGTTACCTTGAACTTGTACTAGTTGAGGTGCATTCAGGAGCAAGACTCAGTAGCCTAAACAGTGGTGTCCAGCTGGCCTCCAGCAGCTACTTGATAGAGATGCCGGTCTCCTGCAAGTGGTGTGTGCCATTTGGTGACCAGGTGTAGAAGTGCTGGGGACCCTGAGGCACCTGCTGACTGCCCCGTGAAGCAGAGGCAGCCTGGGCAAACCAGGAGTTAATATAATCAGGAACCTGCCTATTTTTTTCTGGGGGAGCTGCCACAGGGAGAAGGAATAGTTAAGGTAGACAGAGCAAAGCTAGGAGATGAGTAGGATGGATCAACTACAAAATTATTTTGTATATATGTAGTTGTAGAGGTGTCTGTTGGTTCGTCTCAGCCAGATTCTCTGTTAAATGACAATAACGTGTTTAAGACCTGTTAGTATACAATCTGTTGGTAACACCTCTTGCAGTAGCTACTTCTCTCTGCACTGTCTCGTTACATCTGAAAGTTTGAAGATTGCACCTGATGAGTGGGCTTTAGACTATCAGCGATACGTCAGCTTAATTATTCTTGCAGTTTAATGATATTTAAGAAAAAAAATACAGGAATGCGTTTCTCATTAAAGCATGGGCTACTCATTGTGTATATAGTGCATAGAACTTCAGTTGTCGCACTGTTAAATTAGATGTATAAACTGTGAAATTTGCCTTCCCCTTACCCACAGGAGAATTAATGACAGTTGCTCGATGGATGAGGGAATTTATCGCACAGCATCCAGACTACAAGCAAGATAGCGTGATAACTGATGAAATGAATTACAGCCTTATTTGGAAATGCAACCAAATCGCACAAGGCCAGGCAGAGTGTCCTGAACTGCTGGGGGTAGGATTTAATAAGAAACAAAGTGGAAGCAAAACTGGCTCTTTGTAACGAATGAATGTTTATTAAATAATAGAAAGTTTAAGCCTTTTAGCAAAGCACTAGCAAAGATGCTGTGAATCTGGTACAGTTTCATGGTGTGAAGTCCAAAACAGGGATACTGCACTATAAAATGGGCCAATCTGCCTAAATATTAGTTTAAGGCATCCTAAAATGGGCATATTCTTATTGTTAAGGTTTATACAATGTACATGTAAATAGTAAAATATTTTTTATGATTAACATCAATGTATTTTAATAACATTGTATCTAAAGTTATTGTGAATTAGCTTGTAACTTTTTTATGCTTATTCTAGAAAGAAACATCGTCCTGAACAGCTTTGTAAATGTAATGGTAATTGTATATTATATGCATTCCAGTTTCTGAATGTTTACTGTAATATTTTTAACCTGGAATGTGCTAAGTAATCTACCTTATGGTTTAGGAAAAAAAAATGTTCTGGACCTACCTGAATTGCAGATGCTTATTCCTTCCATTTGGGTTTTGAAAGTATGTAAGAACAGATAAATGCATGTGCATCCTATTTGTTAATCTTCACGGCAGTTTCTCAGTTTACCACAAGACCTGCATTCACTCATAAACTGTAAAACTCAGAAAAACAGATCTGTCTTTATTCAGATAACACAAGTCTGCCTCTCTGCAGATGCATCGTTATTTTTTCCCCCTCTGAAGTAAATTTCTGTGCTATTGGAGATCAGAAACTTGCCCAATGATTTAATGAAAAAGCAGTAATGGGAGAGATGTGGTGAAAGAGAGGAGGAAATGAGAGCTGAACATAAAGCTGTCTTTACACAGGGACCAGAGCGACCTGTTCTGGACTTCAGCACTCTTTAACTGCTCTTTCTCCCACATTGCTGCTGTTCCCACAGCTGACAATGACTGCAGCACAAAAACAAGGACCTGTCCATTCTTCCTAAAGGTTGAGTTTCTCATTTGTCATTCATTATTATTATTGTCAGCATGTTTATTTCCTATAAGGTACTTTATGTAGATGGCTGAGGTACCAACATAGCTGTAGGTATGGACAACTCAATCCCCTCTAGAAAATAGTTATAAAGGAATCATGGAATGCACTAATCGTCTGAACTGGAAGCGAGTGCTGGGAGTGACTGTAAAGTATTTAAAATGTAGCCATTGCATCTGTAAATAAAGCAAATTTAAGGGGCCTTTTTGATTTAGCTTCTTAACTGACTTCTAAAAATAAATTGCGTTATGGGTAGATTATGCAAAGCTTAACGCAAGCGTATATAAATACCTAAGGTGTAATGATTTTTTTCAAAAGAACTAATGGAGAAACTTGCAGTGAAGAGATGCACTAAGAAGAAGGTTTTATGTACTGACATTAGACTTTGTTCTGTGTTCACAGGTGTGCTTTAGAGAATAAAAAGAATGCTTTTTTTCTGCGGTGTTGAATTTGTTTTAATCAAGATGTAGGCGTATGCTAATTTAGTTTCTGTAATAAGGAAATAAAAACAAAATTTGCAGTATGTGTTGGTCACTTGCATGACTTGAACCCACATTTTCAGATTCAAAAAAGGAGGAGTTCCATACCTGGCAGGCACAGCTCATCCTCTCCAGATTCACTTTGTTCACGGTGAAGCTTCTCAGAACTAATGGCAAATGGTCACCACCCCTGCAACAGAAAAGTCCTTGTCATTGTCACAGTAGTATCTGTCTGATTGCACAGCATGAGCTATGCTTGGAAGATCCCTAAAAAAAGTTAGAATGGTTTCCTGCTGGTACTGCTCAACAGATGTCCTTTTTACCTTTCAACTGATGTTAAATCACCCTTCTGGCCTGGTAGGTGGCTACTGTCCTGTAAGCAAGATCAAATTTTGTCATAATGCTTAAAAGCTGGGGCTGGAAGTTTCCCTCATGAGTTCTTGTATGCGTGTTTTCAGAAAGGATGAGAAAGATCAAACACAAAGCTGCCGCTTGTTTGTTGAGATGCCTGTGGTTGCTGTATCTGTGCAGCTGACATTCCCCAGTGAAGAGTTCAGGTATGTGCTCCAGCCTGTTCTTGGTGGCATGGCATGGTGAAGGCTCCCACGGAGCAAACCAGAGTTGCTGCAGGGAAGGGCAAGCTTTGCCACTAGTTTTGAATATACCTTAGAGGTGGCTGTGCGGTATCTGCACCCACTCTGAGGTGGAGAAGCAAGCCTTAGGCCTAGCCTCAAGCTCTGGCTGAACTTTTGCAGAGAGCATGAGAAACTCCCTTGGGCTATGAATTCAGGTTTTTTGGTCCTGCAGTCATTAAATGCTTTAATGGAAGTAATGACCTTTCCAACAGCCACCTGAGCAAAGGGAGGGGAGAAGCACCAAGCACCTGAGATGAAACATGATTGATCCTTGCCCAAAGACCTTGGTACTGTGTCACTCTTGGCACTTCCCCTGATCACTAATGTTCTGGTGTTAAATGCAATTAGATCGAAATAAAGTAGGTTTTTATCAGGATGCTGGTACAGATTTTGATGAAGGCATCTTAGAGTGCCTTGTACCTGACTACAGCCAGTCCACGTGGAAGTGAGGAGTTGCTTTGTGTATGTTGTTCTGGCAGGTCATGTTCAGAAGAGGCTGGGGGCAGTGGGGAAGAAAGCAAAAAGGAGTGAAGTCTATTAGCATCGAGTCTGAAGCATCCCGCTTTCTCCTCGCTCTTTGATTTGCACTGGAGAAGCAGCTGTGCCAAGATGACTTCAAGCTCTCCAACACTTTTCAGTTAGGTTTATTCTTCCCTTCAGCCATTTATTAGGGTGGGCTATCCACCTTCCCGTCCATTCCCAGCTGTGCATGCACAGGCAGTGCTGGACACCTAATCCCTGCCAGTTTACTCACAACATGGGCATTCAGAGGCCAAGACTTGCAGTACTTTTCTTGGCAGTGTAAGGGAGTGGGACACCTTGCTTAGAGATTGTCACATAGCTGCCTAATGAAAAATAGGAAGGCTTTCCAAAAAAAAGACCTCTTCTCCAAGGGGAAGCAAGGCTCGGCATCACAAGGATTTCATATCCTTCACCCCACCCTGCAGCGTTCCCGTGTGTTACTCATCCCTCTGGCATCAGCTGCCGCACGGCTGATTGTGAAAAGCACTAGGACAGAGGATCACCAGGGGTGTTAATGGAGGGAGGCCAAACCCCCCAAACCTCTCCAGAGCCCCCCTGATTTTGCAGAGCAGGAGATGTGGCTGTGTAGTACTTTGTCTTGAACACAAACTGGAGTACAGAGCACAAAGCACTTCTGCCTGTAATTTCTCACCCCTAGGGTGACCTAGAGCAATGCAATATCAACTCTGATGTGATCCCTGAGCTACAACAGCGTTAGCATTACCAGCCAAGTGAAATAGCCCCTGCACAGAGAGTGGAAAACCAGCCAGGGTCCTTGCTGGGGCGTGTTCACAGCGCAGGCAGGGATGAGGTCAGGAGCAGCTCATTGCTGAGCCCAGCGCCAGCCCTAGGTGGCCTCCTAAGGTAAGAGGCAATGCAGTGAGCTGGAGAGAAAATAACTGTTCTCTGGGGAATGAAGAGAAAAAGGAGCCAGAGCCACAACAGTTTATTTCAGGTCCAAATCCTCTGTAGATTTTGGCCCAAGTGTCTACTCAGGGGCTTAGCTTCATCCCATGCAACCAGTGCAAACCTCTTCACATCCCAGTGTCCCGGGCAGCGCTCAGGGGGCTCATCAGAGCAGCTACGGTGACCTTCCAGCCCTCTCCTGCTGCTTTCCCCTGGGGAGAGGGCAGAGGGGAGCTGAGGCTGGTGGTGGGGCTGCCCAGGGGACGCCCCAGCAGGGAGCCTTCCGGGCAGACCTGCTGTGTAAATGTCCTAGGAGCAGGGCAGAGCCGGTGCGTGTTTTCAAAGGGTATGCCGTAGCAGAGCCTGGGAAATAGGCCAGCCTGTCCCTTTCAGACATCCACTTCAGCTGCACAATTGCGCTGCTGAGAGGAAAATTGCCACTGTCTGAATTAAAACGTGTAACATCCAAGTGCTTCTGTGACGTGATGCATCCTGAACAGCCACGTGACGTGAACAGGAGAATTCCCCTTTAAAATGCAGTTAGGTCTCGCTCTTAAAATAATCACTTCTAGGCAACAAACTTCACACACTGCTTTAAAACAACGGTCTGGGCCTCCTCAGAGAACGGCACAGAAGAACATATTTCAAATTTTTGTCTTTTCCCCTTTACTTAGGGCACAGCCTGACTGGCACGAATCCCCCTGCCTCTGCTGGGTGAGGGATGGGGCCATTTCCAGAGGCACGCATGACAAGCAGAGCTCCAGAAGGGAGCATCCACATGTTCCTGGAAACTCATTACAACTTTCCTTTTCCCACTCATCCCAGCACACGAGGTGTTGTTGGTATTTGCCCGTTCCCACTCAGGCCATGAGGGTTCGACGCCATGGCGTGGCTCGGAGGGGAGAGGGCAGTCCTGCCTGTGCCTCCGGCTTCCAGCAATGCGATGTGTTTGGCCTTGCTGTGAGCTGATAAAATGTGACGCTTGCCCCGAATGCAAACCCAGCACTCACTGGGACAAGACGTTATTTCTTATCCTGTCTTGGAAAAGCAAAATCCACACAACAGAAAGGAAGCTTGGAAGATGACTCACACTGTGCAACAAGAGTATCCAGGGAAAAGCTCTGCAGGCTGCTGTGTTTCTCACTGCCTGCCTTCTTCGTTTGTGTGTTTTTTACAAAGCTTTGTAATGGTTTTCAAGATATACCAGGGCAAGATATTCTCTGGGGAAGCAGAACACTTCCTCCAGGACTGTGGTGTCCAGAGGGGACGATCTGCCAGGCGTATCACCAGTTGGGACATCAGTGGCACTGGTTTCTGTTTCCAGCTCTGCTTCCATCCTGAAAGGGAGGTTTTATCTCCCTTTTGTCCTAATGCAGCCAACAGGGGTTTGTAGTGTGAAAAATTTGGTGCCAAACACGTTTGCTGTTGCAACAACACGCTACAACGCTGCCCAGATCCTGTTGATGTATGGCAACAAGAGGCACAACGCTGGTCTAGAAGAGCCTGCGGGATGATGTGGTGGGGTGAGCCTGATGGTCTAATTGCAATTAAAGTGAAAAGCATTATGATCAACTTTATCATCAAACTGCTCTGTCTTTACAACATATCCTCGGCTGTGCCCAGAGTTTGAGAGAGGTGACATAGTGACAGCCTTGCACATCCGTTTCCTTTTATCATGAACAAATGCAAAGCATGTATACATTTGCTCTGTACTAGCTACTTCCTTGTAAACAACTTTTACTGGTAGAGCCCACTGGCAGAAAGGACTTGAGATCAGTCAGATTTGTGTTCATCTGGCACCTACCATGAAAAGACATCTGTGAGCTGTGTCCTGGTGGGACACCACAGGTGGCATGTGCCTCCCAGGGGACATTGCAGACAGTACTGAAATCACTGAATACTGGCGCTGT